ATTTGACACTGCAGGTTGACTCAGTTTCCAGATCGTTACCAGGGTACCACAGAAAACGTAGCACATCAGAATCGTTGGGACGAACGCGAACTTGGTAGAACGTCGACTCTATGCCAGCCATAACAGCGTTCCGCTCTTGTCGGAACCGAGAACACAACCGATGAGGGAGTCGGTCATATCTGGACCCTGTAGCAATACGTTGTTGAGAGAAACGCCCCCGTATTTCGCTGCACAGTTGAGTACAACGCGAACTTTCTCAAGTTTCTTTCCTGGCGTAGGCTTTCTCTAAAAGGTCGTCCTTGAAGGCTGAGTACTTCTGAGAGAGATCTGGGTCTTTGGCGAGCCTTCTTATTGACAACCTCAGTCGATGTTCGGTCAAAACTCCGTTATTTGGCCTTCTTTGAGAACGGCAGTAGAGTCCGTGATTTCCAGGGCTCTTTTGTCATCAAGAGACATCTCCCTCTCATCAAGCAACGAATCGTTAAATTCAATAGGCCTATCAGTAAACCAACACGGGCATCTATTTCCGCAATGCTTATTCCTTTCAGATGGGGCCACCTGTCAACGTCAGCTTGACGAGGCACACTTTCTGAAGAAATTGGCAGTGCAGGAGTAGAAAACACAAGCGGTAGCTCAATAAAATTATTTTCATCTAAGGTGAGGACTTTTAACTGGATCAAAGAGCTTGCTTTCGCACTATTCTCTCTTTCCATCGTGGTTAGCGATAACGTGGTGTCGATACCTCTGACTGCAAGCTCCTTATTAGCTGATCACTGCAGAAGGTCTTATTCGAGCCGCCGTCTAGGAAAGCGTATGTGCGTAAAAGGGTGTCACTTCCTTTGGCTCTCACTTTGACAGGTATTACTGGTAATCCGGTTACTGACGTTCCGGCCCCAGTAGCGGCACGTCGTGGCTTGCCAACACTTACATAAGCATTCTGGGATCCAATCTCTGACTACGCTGCGTCCTCAGTTCGGGTTGCTGGTGGCTGTAGAAATATTGAATGTTTGGCGTGACACCCATCCACCTTACAAAAGCTCGTCTTTGGGCAAGCTTTGGCGTAATGACCAGGAACAAGACAGTTCTAGCACAGCTCTTTATCTCGTACAAGTTCGTATCTTTCACTGACGCCTCTTCTCCTGAAATCATTACATTGGGATAGCCAGTGAGGAGATTTGCACTGCGGGCAGCATAGTCTGCTACGACTGGATCTTGGTTCTAAAATCTCATCAGAAACGCCATTATTAGTGTTATCAGGGTTATCGGCGACGGCTGCAAACGAAGAGACCCTTCTGCTTGTTGAATTTCTCATGTTGAGACTGCCTTTGCGTTTCAGTTCGCTGGATATGTCTCCAAATATGGGATGCGTTAGTATACGGCCTTTTTCCTCTACGAAACTTGCGACGTCACTGATGGTTACTTCTCTTTCCTTCCTCTCTGTGATGTTGTCTTGTTGTAACTATGGTCGTAACTAAGACATAAAGACAATTGTTAACTAATCAAAATGGGCCTTTGTCTATTGACCTTAAGGTTACTCCAAACCTTCGCGGGGCTACTTTTGCCAAATTTCCTTTTTTTCAACCAAATTAAAGTTCATTATCTAAGGTAACATTTTCCAAAAAATGAAAATGAAATATTAAAATGCGCGCGAGTTATTGGGAAAAAAGAGATTTTTTTAATAAAAGTTAATAAACCGTCAAGGTGGGACTCTTCAGCGACCTTTTCGCGGCAAACGGCTAAATCCAGAGATTGTATATCAAATGCTTTAAATTTTAGATTTCATGTCCGTGAAGATTGCCTCCTTGTAGTAACACTTCGGCAATTGCTCCTCAGTTTCTTTCTGTTTTGCCTATCATCGTTGACCACCGGCCTAAAACGTGTGACTGTAACACTATCGCTTTCCCGTGAAGCTCCAGTTTGCATACTGTGAACACAAGGGGATCTGTTATTCCATCGGCTGGGAGCTTTTTGAGTTGACATATTCCTCTCAGAAGGCGTGGCATGTTTAAGCTCGCATTCATTTTTCGAGAGAATCCCTCCTCTTTGAATTAATAAATAGGGTATGTAGAATCGACGGGTTTTTTGTGAAATCAGTTTGGCCAGAATATTCACCAATAGATAAGGAACAAAAGTGTGTCGGCGAATTCTTTAATTTTGAATACTTTTCTCGTGACGGCCTTGAACGCAACACGTTGCGCGAATTTTTTGATAATGGAACTTGACAGATCTATTAAAAGATAACCAATAGAAATAAAAGAAAATGCTGACACACTTTGAGAGATTGATGCTTTGTAACTGACACTGCACAGTTATTTTGCATGAACGATCGCATTTGATACCCGATTAATTCGCCGGAATTTCAGTCGGCGTTAACGGCCTTTGTAGTTGTTTTTGTTGTTGGCGTTGTAGTTGTTTTTGTGAAAAGCACGTTCAAGGTATCTGTTTTCGTCACGTAGGCTGTCCGGTGTGTCACAAACTAGTTGCGCTCGTCTCGTTAAGTCTTTATAGTCGTGGCTTTGTGTGAAGTCGGGCTGTAGGATGATTCGTCAAGAAATCTGTCGGTATGTGTCGGTTTTCTGTACATTGTCGTTCACAGTTGGTTGTTGTTGCGGCTTGCCAAACAGTCTAGAAAAGGATTTAAATTGCACAAACGAGCCACGAGAAATGGTGATCCCAACAATCACACTGCTGTACATCATCAACTGACAAACCACAACATAGACTGGGACTCTGCTCAGTGCTTAACCTACAGTACAAACTATTTTCAAGGACTGACTCTGGAAAGCTGGTACACTAACCTAGAACAAACGCCTCTTAACAGATGTCAACAGCTACCGGCGCCTTACAGATGACTTATCCATGACGGAACGAAACCGACAAACGGACTTCTAACAGACCGACTTAACAATACAAGGACCAAAAACCGATCTATTTGACTAACAATAGACTGACCAAACACCGACTATTTTGACTAACAATCTGCGGATCGAAACCGACCAATGACTGATGACAAACTTTACACGAGTCTTTCAGCCAATACCATCATGGCTAAGCTGATCAATCACGTTTAACGGACCAGACTTATAAGATCATCGACTGACAAACACAATTCACTTGACTCTGAAGATGACTTCCGCTCAAGTTGTCGAAACGTCCGTCACCGACAACAGTTCTTTTCAGAACTACCCTCACCCGGACGATCACACTATACGAACTACTGATACTCCTGGGTTCAAACCATTTACAAAGAAAATAATTGAGAATGCGTTGTCGTAAGCGTTATCGCGCCTGAATATCCTTGGCGAATATCGCGAAATTGTTAACTGCCAAACACGAGCAAGAAACAGCCGTAAAACAATTGACTCATGGGAGAGATGTGACGGCCGTTTTCCCAACAGGCATTGGCCAAAGCATGATTTTTACCGTGTTTCACTGTTTGCGCTCAACAGACAAGAATTGTCGTCTACGAGAACCAGTATCGTTATTTCGCTGTTAAAGAGCATCATCGACGACCAAAATTTTTTTTAATATTATCGCTGAACTTCACAGCAATGGAATTGTCGCCTGATGTTTTATATTCTTTTGTTGTTTGAGGACTTCGATCGCGGCTTGCCTCACTTTCTGCAGGCTCCAGTAGATGAAATTATGAAGTTCAAAAGCGTTTCTTATTCTACGTACACAGGAATGGCACACACTATCAGATGATGTGTCTGATCTTTCTATTTCTAGACCAATTTCAGATTCCTTACAAAGTGCCATTTTGAAATCCTTCACGCTTAGAGACCCTGAAAAGGTTTTGAATGGAAATGTTTAAATTCTCCAAATTCGATCTTGAGGGGAAAACGACAAAGTCTTTAATTATCGTTTACACCTCTCTCGATTCCTCCCCTGACAGGCTTTGCCCTTGTCGCCACCGGGCAAACACCGCATCGCCATAGCATCGGATAGTTTTGTTTTGATAGACTCTACAGTATCACTGTGACTTTTCCCTGCCAAGTTGGCTGGAAGTTTCTTATTACAATCTATGCTCTGATCAGCTGTGTTAATACGATTCACAAAACCTTTCATCGGGTTGTCAAAATATATAATAGGGAGCGGCAATAAAAAATGCGAGTAATCCAGGTAGGCGGTTCCTCGGGGCTTCGCCGGTTTGTGCGCTCTCACTCAATTTGCTTAAAAAATTGCTTAAACCGCCAAGCTACGCAGGCTACAGATATCTTATCCTAACTTCGCCGTTTGCCTCTTTCTTTCGCCTCAGTCGTCGAAATAGCTCTAGGATCCACGGACAGCTTTAGCATGGTAATATGTGCAAACGATGTTATCGCAGTTTCGCCATAGTATTAATCGAGTGGAAACCAAACTGGGTCTGAACTTCAAACATCGTACGATTTTATTTTGTTTACACGAATACGAGTTTGACTAAAAAAAAAGCAAGCAAATAGAGGGTTTGCACGGCAGCCATATTGCATGGCAGGAACAATGAAAATGTTTTGCATTGGGAAGAACATTTTTCCCATAGGAAAAAGAATCTATTGTTCCTGCCATGCAACATGGCTGCCGTGCAAAACCTTTATAGAAACTGAGTACAACAATAATAAATGAAGCAAGCTAGGCAAATAATGAAGAAAACCATGCCAAACACGACTTACAGAAATTCCACCCGAATGATGAAGTTGGAACAGAACAGATCCTGGATACGCGATGCACAATTTGCTCGATTGGATTTGTAAGCTATTTTGAAATAATGTAACCATTGCTCTTAAATTCGTATAATAAGAACACACGCGAAGAATGTAACTTATTTGTCCCCGGCCGTCGGGACATTGTGATTTGCATAGGGTCGATGATAGGGAACGAAGCAATAGAAAACAACGCAAGAATGTGACAATCACTGAAAATAACTTACTTAATAGGACATTTTTTAGTCGCTTGACGTTTACTTAATGAGCCTTGTGTAATTTTTCCCTCGCAAATTTATTTGTCTTCTATCTTTGTTTCAGCCCAATCAGACCAGACTTCATGAAAGGAAAACTGGGTAAATTAATGCCCAGGGTGGTCAATCAATTATTTTCAATAATCCATTCAATAATCCATAATTAAAATTGTTGCCTTTATAATAAAGACTGGTCATGCGACAGCCTCCAGGTGTTGGCACTCAGTGTGGTGTACATTTAGGGCACATTTTTATTCAGTATAATGCAAGTTAAGCTTGACTTGTTATTCAAGACTACAAGTAGAGTGGTCTTGTAGCACAGTTTTCATAACCTTAAGGTGTCGGCACCCAGAGTGGTGCACATCAAAGGCGTGAAATGTTTATTATAATATGAGTTTTCAATCTTGACTTGTTGTTTAAGACTACAAGTAGAGTGGTCCTGTAGTACAGTTTTCATAGCCTCAAGGTGTCGGCACCCAGAGTGGTACACATTGAGGGCATATTGTTATAAATGACAGTGTGTATAATATAAAGCGGCCTTCACACGGCAAACTAAAGTTAGCAAACTAGTGTTGGCAAACTCAAGTTGGTGTGTGTGAACGACACAAATACAGTCGGCAAACACGTTGGCAAACTGTTGGCGACAAATAGAACTTGCCTCTATTCTCGCCAACTTTTTCACCAACTTTTCAGGGTTGGTAAACTCGTATCTGACGTGTGAACGGTTGGCAAACAGGTTTTGTTGACTGTCAACCAATCAAGACACAGGCTCTGTTCACGTGATTTATTTGTGTGACACTTCACAAAATGGCGGACGCAATTTAAGATGAACATCATGATGAGGCCACTTTTAAATTTATCAAAGAGATTGACAATTGTCCGGCTGTGTGGGACGTTTCATCTGTAGCCTACAAAGATACTAAAAACAAACAAAAGAGAATGGAGGAGCTAGCGGACAAACTGGGTTTCGTCCAAACCTTTTTATATAATAATTAAATGAATGCGCGCGCTCTGATTGGTCTATCAGCTATGGTTTATTGTGCCAGTAAACTCATGGAAATTTCGCATGTCTTCTGAATTATTATAAAAAAGCAATAGACCACAAGTTTTTATAGTTTATAGGCTGATAAACCACTTGGGATGTTGGAAGAACACGAGAAGAATTCGTAAATCACTCGCCTGCGGCTCGTGAGTTACGTAATCTTCTCGTGTTCTTCCAACATCCCGCGTGGTTTATCAGCCTATAAACCATGAAAACTTGTGGTCTATTGCTCAACTATTCCTCCACCGCTTTCTGTTTCTTCTCTTCTCTTCTTCTGTTTCACTGTTCTACGTGAGTGCCACTGCACTGAGTCGGCCATGTTGCAAATTACCGCGTGTTATGATTTGACGCGACTTTGACGTGTGAAGGTACCAGTTTGCCAACTTTTGAAGTTTGCCAACACGAGTTTGCCAACTTAAGTTTGCCGTGTGAAGGCCGCTTAAGTCTTTTAAACTAGACATGTTTAAGACTACAAGTAAAGTAGTCGTGTACTACAGCTTAATACATGTATGTATGCTTATGTGTCGGCAACCAGAGTGGTGCAGACCAAGGGAACATTTTAGTATGTTATGTTCTGGACATTTTAAAGTCAGCTATAATTATTCAGGATTCAGGATTCAGGATTCAGGAAATAGGAAAAACTAAACAAAAACCAAAACAAAATTTTATAAAAAAAAGTAGAGAGGTCTTGGCACCCAGAGCTTGCACATCGAGGGACATTTTATTGTAATGCAAGTTTTCAACTTTGACTTGTTATTCAAGACTACAAGTAGAGTGGTTCTGTTGTACAGTTTTCATATCCTTAAGGTGTCGGCACCCAGAGTGGTGCACATCAAAGGCGTGAAATGGTTATTATAATATAAGTTTTTAGTCTTGACTTGTTATTCAAGACTACGAGTAGAGTGGTCCTTTAGTGCAGTTTTCAAAGCCTAAGGTGTCGGCCCCCAGAGCAGGTGCACATCAAGGGCATATATAGAATTTTTATTTATAATGTAAGTTTTCAAGCTTTTAAAAGACTACAAGTATGTGTATCTAAGTTATCCTCAGTTTGGTACAGCTTGCGTATCAAGCAACTTTATATCCATGTTGATTGTATGTGTTTTAAATTTATTTTATCAGACTGCATGGTTGTATTGTTTTGATCGTGAACACGAACTTACAAGCAATTGCTTTAGCTACCATCGTGTATAAATAAAGGTTTCAACTAGTGTTTCTAGACTGAGTAAAGATATTGTTTCCCGACCCTAGTAGACATAATAAGAAACAAGATACCAAAGAAGAGTCAATATATTAGCCATCACAAGTTTTCGACGCTGTCACAGCGTCTTTCTGAAGTGAATGTGGCGGGAGTCTATTTGTCACGTGAGCTTGAGTGAACCAAGTCACGTGACAAAACTCTAACTTCCGGTCCTAAATGGAGATGTTTTGACACGTGACGCGCCACATTCACTTGAGAAAGATGCTGTAACGGCGTCGAAAGCTTGTGATCGCTAAAACATTGACTCTGCCTCAGCTGTCTGCCTCGGTGTCTTGTTTCTCATGATCATTTCTTCATTTTTAGTGCAGAGTGCACTATTGGGATGGTTATGGGGGCTGCTTGTCGCTAAGGAACTAAGGCGCTATGGCCTTATGGCGCTATTGCGCTAAGGTGTAAACTTTAATGTTTGTTTAATTAATTAATTTCAATTAATTAATTAATTAGTTTAGAGGAAAGGAAGTAGTGGGGGAAGGGTGGGAAAGGTACATGTGTACTCTACGTAAAACACATTCCATCGCCGTCACTTAGCTTTGAAGATCGCAAAGCTATATATTTGTTTCAGGTAACCCCTTGCTCTCCTTGTGGTACCATTCTCCTTAGAACAAAACTAATTTGCCCTAAACGCATG